TGGTGACGCCGAGGTCCTGAAGATGGCCGACACCAACCAGGTTCCTGGAGAACGAGGGAACGTGGAGGCCTGTAAGAGAGGCTGAGGGAATGGCTGGACAGGGAAGGGAAGTGGAGCTGCGAGCGACGACATGAACCACGGAGGGGTCAGCGATAGTGACAACAGCAGGCGCAGCAAGCGACGTGAGCGTGGAGCGGTCGCGGAAGAAACAGGCAGAAGCACCGGAGTCGAGAGTGAAGGACAGCGAGGCAGTAGCGGAGGCTGCGAACGGAGCTGGTGCAGAAACTAGGCTAGGCAAACTAGGCAGTCCTACGCCTCACGCAGTAGGGGAGGCTAAGCTACACAAGGGTGCTACGCCTAAACTAGAGTCAGGGTAATAAGATCCAGCAACACTAGAAGCGTCAGCATACAAGGCATGCAAAGCAGCACCTATCTGATCCATATCTAAGTCAAAGATTGGCACGCCCTGGCAAAGCAGGCTGTGCCAGTCGGGGAGGTCCAGGGCCGGGCCAAAGCGACGACGAAAGAGATCGTCGAGGCGGCGGGAACAGCGAGCAGTCGGGTGCGGGAGGTGGCACAGAGTGCCGCGGAGAGGCACCGTCTGAAGCTGGTACTGGCAGGTCACACCAACGGAGCTGCCGGTAGACGCCAAGCTGCGTAGGCCACCACCACGGCCACCACCTACGGAGGTGCCAGGCCATCCTGGGGGGAGGTGAGCCCACGGCGGGGGCTGAGACAGCTGTTGCGACGACCGCGACTGCTGCGATGGCTGCGGCAGCTGCTCCTGCTGCTGGGGTGACGGCTGCTGCTCCTGACTAGCTGAGGCAGTCCCCTCAGTAGAACCACTGTCCCCGGTACCACCACTACTACAACCAGCTCCACCACCACACCCTCCCTGGCGGCCACGACCGGCGCGGCGCGAGCGCTGCTGCAGGTGTACCGCAGCTGTAGTCTCGGTCAGAGGGGTCGCAGTCGCGACCGCAACCGAAACGTCAGTAAACGTGCACTGGGAGGGGGCACAGCCGTGAAAGATAGAGACGGCCGGCGCACCGCTCGACTGAGCGATAGTGCGCTGGCGAGTCTTGATCTCGGTCAGGGCGGTGACAAAAGCTGGCAGGGTGAGATCACTCGGGTGCTGGCTATTGATGTGGTCGCGTGCACTAGCAATGCGGTCGGGCAGGCGCATGGCGATAAAGTAGAGGGTCATGCAGAAGGGGGGAGGGAGCGCAGTGAGCTGGGCAGCAGTGCTAGCAGTGCGGTAGCGAGACTCTAGGGCGCGCAGGTGAGTGGCAAGGTCAGCAACAGTAGGGAAGGAAGCAAGGTCTGGGAAAAGCATAGGGAAGAGCAGGCGGCCTGCAGTAGCACAGGCAGGCGTGGAATAGCGAGCAACAACAGCTTCTAAGTAAGCCTTGGCTGTATCAACCGTAGCAAAACGCGAACGCTCAGACACAGGGAGGGCGTGACTGATAACGACCTGAGCAACTGCATCGCGAGAGTCCCAGACAGCACAGGCAAGTGCAGCAGTAGAGAAACTCTCACGCTCAGCAGAGGTGGGGTCAGCAGGGAGGGGAGCAGGTGCTGGGGGGCGAGGGAGCAAGCCATCAGTATGGAGAACCAAGGAGTGGTCATCCTGGCGCTGACCTGTGAGTTGACGGCGGAGATCGGACAGCCAGGCGACGAAGTCAACCGCATGGCCCTCAGTGTCCAGGCGGAGTACGAAGTCAGCCATCGTGCAGGGTCAGCGACACAGGGACACAGCGGCACAGCTCCACACGACACAGCGGCACAGGGACACAGCAGCACAGCTCCAGGGGGACGTCTGCAGGACGCTTCAGTGCTGGCAAGCAGAAGACACGCGGCCGGAGACCCGAGGAACCGTGCCAAGCAGAAGACACGGAGCCGCAGGAGCCGGGCAGGCACTGGGAGCTGCGGGCCGCAGGAGCCGGGCAGGCGTATCGGGGCCGGGCAGGCGCTGGGTGTGGCCGGCCGGGCGCAATAGGTCGGGCGGGCGCTAGCAGGGGCCGGGCGGGCGCTGTGGAGGGCCGGGCGGGCGGTAGAGGGGGCCGGGCGGGCGCTAGGAGGGGCCGGCTAGGAGCGGGCGCGAACGGCCAGGGGACCGGCTAGGAGAGGGCGCGACGGCCAGGGGGCCGGCTAGGAGCGGGCGCAAACGGCCAGAGGGCCGACTAGGGGCTGGCGCGACGGCCAAGGGGCAGACTAAGGGCGGGCGCGATGGCCAGGGGGCCGGCTAGGGGCGGGCGCGACGGCCAGGGGGCCGGCTAGGGGCGGGCGCGACGGCCAGGGGGCCGGCTAGGGGCGGGCACGACGGCGAGGGGGCCGGCTAGGGGCGGACGCGACGGCCAGGGGGCCGGCTAGGGGCGGACGCGACGGCCAGGGGGCCAGCTATGGGCGGGCGCGACGGCCAGGGGGCCGGCTATGGGCGGACGCGACGCCCAGGGGGGCAGCTAGGGGCGGGCGCGACGGCCAGGGGGCCGGCTAGGGGCGGACGCGACGCCCAGGGGGCCAGCTAAGGGCGAGCGCGACGGCCAGGGGGCCAGCTAAGGGCGGGCGCGACGGCCAGGGGGGGGGCGGCTAGGGGCGGACGCGACGGCCAGGGGGCCGGCTAGGGGCGGACGCGACGGCTAGGGGGCCAGCTAGGGGCGGGCGCGATGGCCAGGGGGGCGTCTAAGAGCGGACGGGACGGCTAGGGCCTAGGGCGGAAGCATGGGCGGGTGAGAGGAACCGAACCTACTCATGATACCACGTTAGAAAGAGAGAATGAATGGACTAGTATGAGAAACCTAGAACATGTACCTGTTGGGGTTGTACTCACTAGAAGCACACACCTAGGCTAGCCTATAACTTCTACATACAGCATATGTATAAGTTGACACTGATGTCATGGTGCGCACCGACCACAAATCCTTACAGTACCTGCGAGCCCAACCGGATCTCAACCCGCGACAGATCCGATGGCTCGATTTCCTCGAGTCGAACTTCCAGTACACCATCACCTACAAACGGGGCGCCAACAATATTGCCGATGCCCTGACTCGACCCATTGCCCATACTGCCGCCATACAAGTCACCCAGACCAGCTCACTACTTACTTGACTATTTACCCACGGCTACAAGATCGACCCTTTCTTCCGCTCGGCTATTCATCAACAGCATACCACCGCCACCGGACACTATTTTAACAAGCGCGATACTTCTCGCATCTGGGTGTCCGGCTACGATTTTCTTCGTACCCTACTAATACAGGAATCCCACGACAACCCTACCTCTGGGCATTTCGGAGTCGACCAAACTTTGAAGATGTTGCAGCGCAACTATTTTTGGCCTAACATGGCCGACGATGTGCACAAGTACGTGTCCTCCTGCACCGCTTGCTAGATCATGAAATCCTCCCATCTGCGAGCAGCCGGACTACTACAGCCGTTGGATCCGCCCGAGCGACCCTGGCAACATATCACGATGGACTTCGTGACGGGATTGCCAGGCGGTCCCAGCGGAAACGACGCCATCCTCGTGGTCGTTGACCGACTCACGAAAATGGCGCACTTCATCGCCTGCCAACAGACAATTACAGCCGAGCAAACTGCCCAACTGTTTATCACCAATGTCATCCGGCTGCACGGACTACCCACCGCAATTATTTCTGACCGAGACACGACCTGTGGGACCACATCGAATTTCTGGCGCCACATGTGGGACCAGTTCGGCACCAAACTGCAGTTTTCCTCCTCCTACCACCCACAGACTGACGGGCAGACCGAACGAGTCAATCAAACTATGGAGCAACTCATTCGGACTACTTGTACTGACCCACAGACATGGGAGAAATCCCTTCCGCTGCTAGAATCCGCGTATAATAACGCGCCCTCCGCCACAACCCATCAGTCCCTGTTATTCCTCAACTACGGACAAGACCCAGTGGTACCCTCTACCCCGAACATAGAGACGACTGTGCCCCAGTCCCAGAAATTTGCTGAAGACATTCTCGCCGCCCGATAAAAAGCAGCTGAAGCCATCAGGAAAGCCAACCTGGTCGCGAGTCGACAAGCCGATCGCCATCGACGTGACGTCACTTACAACGTCAGAGATCTCGTCCTACTCGACACTCGCAATTTGCGGCTGCCGATCCCGAGCAAACTCCGACCCAGATTTTGCGGGCCTTTTCAAGTGACCAACATGGTGACACCTGTCACTGCTCACCTCCGACTTCCGGCCGATTGGCGTCACCACCCGGCTTTCCACGTCAGCCTTTTACGGCCCTACGTCCCAAGTTCGTCAGAACTGGCACAACAACGCGGTGTTCCGCAGCTGACGCCCCTGCAGGAACCGACGACTGAGCCCTAGAAAATCCTCGGCCATCGAGTCACGACGCAGCTGAACCGTCGGATGGTTGATTTTCTCGTCCGCTGGCGCGATCGCACGTCAGAAGATGACAGCTGGGTGCCGCTCGCTGAGCTAGAATCACATCCGATTCTAACAGCGTAGTATCAGCGTCGGAATGTTTCCGATGCTCGCGGTCTCGTTTAGGATGGGGGGGGTAGTGTAAGGAATTTCCATTCCTTACTGAGTTGTACGCTAGCACGTACACCCAAACTCCTCGACTCGTCACGTTCGGCCTCATTTATCGGCCCAACCCTTTCCCGAGTCGCGTCCGGCACTGTCGCCACATTTCAACCTACCCACGTTCTGAGGTTATCGCCCTAGCACGCCAACCCCTATATAACCTCGTGCCTTCATTGACCTTGTATTCTCACGTTATAGTACATTGACACTTCCTATATCATAACAGTGTTTGTCGAGGGACTTCAGTTCAAGTAACCCCTCCCACTGCCCCTTTCAAACTCAGTGCGTTTGACATCCTAGGCTTGCAATTTGGGTTGCGGGCTTTAAGGTAATATCCGCCAAATCTATGTACCGCAAGCGAACCAAGCTAGTATAGAGTATAGTGGTCCATAAGCCATTGACCTTTGTGCTCGCCTCCAGCGCACCCTCCGCCATTTCCACGCTCGATCTTCCAAATTGTCGCACGCTTCCAATGGCTGCCGAATCGTCTGACAGCCATCCAGCAGCGCCCCCGCCGACGATTCTCAGTGAGTGCGTCGCTGCTATCGCATCGCATCGCATCACAGCGGCGACGATGGACGACAGAACTGTCGTGTGCTCCAGCTAGTCCCGTCTCATAGCGGAGCGGCGCTTCAGATGGTCTCCTCTGCTGCTCTCCCAGCACCGCCACCGTCTCCTCTCTCGCATGTCGGTCGCATTCAGAGCGATTCATTTGAGCGGCTAGTGTTCGCATCTTGTATCCTCGTTATCGTCGTGCTGACGTGGAATCCGCTGATCGCCTCGTCACTGTCCTTGCAAGATCGCCAGCTCACCCTTCGCATTCTTCGCATTCTTCGCATTTTTGGCATTCTTCGCTCCCCACGTTCTCTACTCCCGTCACTCGTTCCCCTTGCGCATCGCAGCGCGGGACAAGCAGGGCCTCTCGCTATTGTCACATGTGACTGCATCGGAGGTCCAGCCAGTCGCCGCCGTGCAGAAGTAAGGACAGTCGCCCTGCAGGGGTGGTCACGCCTGTGCTCGCCTTTCGTTCCTCGCACTTCCCCTTCGCGTCCCCCCTGTCCCTGTGCCCTCCACCGGGCTCTGCGGACTGCTGCCTCCCTGTGTCCGTCGTCCACCCCTGCAGTCTCCCGTCCATGCCTCCTCAAGCATCCCCTTGCTGAACTTCCGCCCTCCACACTGGTCGACGTCCTCTCCCCCCGCCCCCGCTCGCTCACGACGGCTGCCCTTGTTCTGCCCTGCCGCACGCCTCATGGCGTCCTAGACCGATCCTCACCGGACTGGACCCAAGGCCCCGTTGCCGTCAGTGTCCCATCCCCCACTCCCACCTCCCTACCGTCTACTACACTACCATTTTCAATTCCCTCTTAAACCAGAAACCCAGAGCCCTCATTTCTGCTAGCCTCTGAGCGCTGCTGCCACCCCGAGCTTTGCCTGCCGATTGTGCTCCCCACGGCCTCTCATCTGCCCCTGCCTCCCCTGCTGCCTCCCCTGCTGCCTCCCCTGCTGCCTCCCCTGCTGCCTCCCCTGCTGCTTTCCCTTACTGCCTTTCCTGCTGCCTGCCACTCCCTCTCTTCTCCTGCGCGTCCTCCCCCTCCTCCCCTCCCCCTTCCCCATGCCCCATCTTCTCTTTACCTACACCACCCCCCCAACCCCCGCTTCTCCCTTCTCTCCCCCCTGCTCCATCCCTCCCCCCACCCCGCCAGCGTGCCTTGCTCGCAGGACAAGTTCAGCCCAGATGGCAGCCTCGTGGGATCCTGCCCAGATGCCAACACCTGCCAGTGGGATCCTCCTACCCCTCCTTAAAACCGCTCAAAACCCACCCCCACCCCCCGCTCCCAAAATTCCCTTCAGCGTGCCCTGTTCGCAGGCCAAGTTCAGCCCAGATGGAAGCCTCGTGGCTGTCGCAGCAGCGGGCGGCGGCGTTCGCCTCATTCACACAGCGTCTGGCGAGCAGCGGATGCACATGCCTCTGGAGGGCGTGCAGGCGATGGCCTTTTCGCCCAGGGGTTCCTACCTGCAGGTGCGTCTTTGCTTGCTGCCCTGCTGGGGGGGGGGCTGCACACGCATTTGGAGGGCGTGCAGGCACAGGCCTTCTCGCCCAGGGGCTCATACCTGCAGGTGTGCATGGCGCCTCAAGCTGTGTGAGCTAGCGCTTGAGGTCACTGCTGCCTCCCCCCTTCAACGCTGCTGGACTCTACCCTGCAGGCTCTTGCGTTCTCCCTACAGGCTCGTGCCTTGCTTTGCGCTCGTGTGCCACTCTCTGGACCATGCCCACCTGCCGTCAGGTCCAGAGAGTGGGACCCGAGCGCAAAGCAAGAGGTGCCAGGCTGCGCTCGTGGCTCGCCTCCATGCCTCTGCTTCCCCTGCTTGCCCTCCATGCCTCTGCTTCCCCTGCTTGCCCTCCATGCCTCTGCTTCCCCTGCTTGCCCTCCATGCCTCTGCTTCCCCTGCTTGCCCTCCATGCCTCTGCTTCCCCTGCTTGCCCTCCATGCCTCTGCTTCCCCTGCTTGCCCTCCATGCCTCTGCTTCCCCTGCTTGCCCTCCATGCCTCTGCTTCCCCTGCTTGCCCTCCTTACTTCTCCGACCAGGGGAGGGGGGGGGGGAGTGCAACCTGATGGCGTCTGTCCTTTCTCTTCCCCCACTCTTTCCTTACGGCCCGCTCTCTCCTCTGCTATTGGTGTTCCAGCGGCCCATGGCAGCAGTGGGGGGCGGGCTGGCAGAGTGCAAAGAGACTGTGTTTGTGATTTGGCCTTATGCTCCTTCGTTCGTCTTTGCATTCCCCCTCTCGCCCCTCTCCACTGCAGGTGTTCCAGCGCCCCACAGCACCAGCGGGCGGCGGGCAGGCGGAGAGCAACCTGACGGTGCGGCGGGTGAGCGATGGGGAGGTGGTGTGGCGGCAGGTGCAGAAGACGTTCAACTCGAGCGCATGGTGGGTGGGAGGAGGCAGGGGTGAGTGAGAGAAAGCGATAGCGGTTGAGTGACCGATGGGTGGGTGGGTGGTGCGCAGCGAGTTGCAGGGGCCAGTGCGACTGCAGGGGGGCGGTGCAGCACAGGCGCGGTGAGTGATAGGGAGTGGGCAGGCGATGGGGAGGTGGTGGGGGCACATGCAGTGCAGGCGAGACGGCATTGAGTGTGAGTGCATGGGGGTTACTTGCAGCCACGCGTGGCAGGACGGGCAGCTGCTTGCAAGCCTTCCTCAGCGCTCCCTGCCGTGTGCCTCCCACCACGGCTGTCTGCCACCGCCGCCTGCTCTGTGCGCCAGCAAGCACCACGGACTAAAGCGCGTGCTCGCCTGCCAACTTCTGAGCGCATGTCAAAGCCACCTGTTAGCCACCTTTCTTCTTGCAACATACGCTCCCCTCAACCGCCCCCCCCCCTTGGCCCTGCAGGCCCAGCATGCAGTTCAGCGCAGATGAGTCCGTGGCTTGCCGCCCGGTGAATGGCGAGGTGCAACTGTTCACCGGCGCTGACCTGGCAGCTGGCGTGGCGGCGCGGCTCAAGGTGCCTGGGATGACGTCAGCACAGCTGGCACCGTCGCCCCCTTCTCACATTGCGGTGTTCGCGCCTGAAGCCAAGGTGGGTGCGCTGCAGCACAACTAGTGCTTGCCGTGCATTGCTGCCAGCCAACAGTCACTTCCCGGTGAGCCTCAAGATGCGTCCCCCGCTGCTCAAGATGCGTCCCCCGCTGCTCAAGATGCGTCCCCCGCTGCTCAAGATGCGTCCCCCGTTGCTCAAGATGCGTCCCCCGTTGCTCAAGATGCGTCCCCCGTTGCTCGTCGCTCCCCCTGAAGCCAAGCTGCATGTGCCATCTGTGGTGGGAGCTTTCCTGGGGACGCCCTTCCTTGCACTGCCTGCTCCGCCCCACCTCCGTTCGCATGCACCGTCCTCGGTCCGTGCTGCTTTCCACGCAAGGAATAAGTCAGGCGTGGGGTCGGTGGGGAGTTTTTTTGCACGAGAGCGAACAGGGTAGGGGTGTATTCTGGGCCATTGGGCCTTGTGGCCTTGCAGCACAGCATCGCGACACACGGGCAGGCAAGGCAGGGAGGAATCAGTGTGTTGGAACGTGTGACACGTCTGACGTGGACCAAAACAGGGGTGTGCAAGGCGCTTCAGCATGTTTCTCCTTGCCTCCTGCTCCCTCCGTCCGCTGCTCCTCCCCAGGGAGGGAGCGCCTGCCAGCCAGTGCGCCAACCCTGAGAAAGCGCCACTGTTTCTTCGCCTTCCTCGTCCTCCCCTGCCCCTCAGCACGCACCAGTGGTGCGCCGCAGCTGCTTCAAGGGCAGCGCAGCACACTGGGAGCGGGGAACTCGTCTGGCAGGCTTCTCAGCATGTCTCTCTTTTTTCCACACCCCCCCGTCTGTCTGCCTTCCCCCAGGGAGCACCGGCCAGTGGGCGCCTCTTCAGTGGAAGCAGTGCCCCCCCTTCCTCCTCCTCCTCCTCCTCCTCCTCCTCCTCCTCCTCCTCCTCCTCCTCCTCCTCCTCCTCCTCCTCCTCCTCCTCCTCCTCCTCCTCCTCCTCCTCCTCCTCCTCCTCCTCCTCCTCCTCCTCCTCCTCCTCCTCCTCCACCACCACCTCACCAGCCCCCCCGTGGCGCGCCACAGCTTCTTCGGGTGCAGCGCATTGCACAGGGGAGCAGAGAACGGGTGCAAATGGCTCTTGCATGCCTGATTTCTTGTTTCCCCCCTCTTTCCCCCCGCCTCGCCCTCACCTCCTTTTCCCTCCGCCTGCCATTTCCCAGGGAGCGCCGGCTAGTGTGCGCATATTCACGCGAGACAGCGCCACCCCTTCCTCCTCCTCCTCCGCCTCCCCAGCCGCCCCCGTGGCGCGGCGGAGCTTCTTCAAGTGCAGCGGCGTGCGGCTGGTGTGGAACGTGGGGACCACTGCTGTGCTGGCATGGACGCACTCTGACGTGGACAAGACCAACCAGAGCTACTATGGCGAGTCGGGGCTGCACTTCCTGGCGGCCGATGGCAGCTTTGAGGGCGCCGTGCCGCTGTGTGAGTCGTGTGACCTCACTAGATGAGTCTGGGTCTGAGTGTAGCTGCACATGTGGGTGAGCTGGGGCTGCACTCCCTGGTGGCGGATTGCAGCTTTGAGGCGGCGTTCCGTTGTGTGAGTGGTAGGGGAACACTGTGCTCGTCTCTTCCTTCCCATGGGTGTGCCAAGGCGTTGTGCATAGAAATGCAAGTCAGGGCTGCACTTCCTGGCAGCGGATGGCAGCTTAGAGGGCGCTGTGCCGCTGTGTGGTTCATGCAGCACGCAAGTGCTTGGTTGATCCTCTCCATGGGTGTGGCATGGCGTCGTGCATGTGAGTGTGAGTCGGGGCTGCACTCCCTGTGATAGGCTTTTTATCATTCTCAAAATAGGCTGTGATAGATTCTTGACAATTCCAAGGGCGCTTCCAAAGTCACAAACGTTTCGTGTTTGGTTTCCGGTGCAGCTCGTTTCGCTGTACCTCTCTCGGGATTCTGAGCGGTGCATTACAGCTATTTCCGTTACGGTACGTTTTTCAAGGATTCCACTTTGCAAGCGCCATCACATCACACCATGGCGCCATGCGTGTCAGTGCGGGTTGCGGCTGCTGCAGTCCCTTGCGCCCGACACCGATGTCTTGGCTTCTGCGCTCGTTCCCTGTGCCTGCTCGCCCCTCCCATGCATCCGCAGCCAGGGCATGGCCCGTCTTGACTTCAACCCACCACCCAAGGACGGCTTGGATCACGGCATGCACTGGTGGTGGTGGTCGCCCTGTAAGGATCTTCCGCCTCAACCCCTCCGTGGTTTCTCCCCTCCATCCCTCTCTCTGCCCCTCCCCCGCTTGCCCCTCCCCCGCTTGCCCCTCCCCCGCTTGCCCCTCCCCCGCTTGCCCCTCCCCCGCTTGCCCCTCCCCCGCTTGCCCCTCCCCCGCTTGCCCCTCCCCCGCTTGCCCCTCCCCCGCTTGCCGCACCCCGTTCTGCCGTGCCCCCACCAGCCAAGGAGGGGCCCATTCACGACGTGCAGTGGTCGCCCAATGGGAAGGACTTCGTTGTGGTGCATGGATGTGAGTGGGAAGGGGGAGACTGTAAGGGGTGTGAGTGTGGTGCGAGGACGTCATGTAGGAGAGTGGGGTTGGAGAAACTGTAGAAACGGTATAGGGTTTCAGATTTGAGGTGTCTCTTGTTGCTCGTGCGGTTGAACAATGTTGGAGAACAACGCCTACCTAGTTTGGACATGGGCATAAGCCGAGCCTGGCTCGGCTCGTGAAAATTGGGTCGAGCCGGGGTCGGCTCGCCGGCTCGCCGGCTCGGCTCGGCTCGTCAGGGGGCCTTGTGTGGGCTGTCAATTGGGGCCATGGGGTTTGGGGTCTCTATTCCAGGGGATAATCCAGATTGTTTAGCTGATCGTCTGGTTCTACATCTTACAAAACTATCAGGAGGAGCTGCAGGTTTAAATAGGGCTGGCTGAGGGCGATAGACTAGGGCGACAGGGTGAGGTTAGGGTTGGCAGACAAAATGGGCGCAGGGGGGTTTGTCGATCTGAAATTTGACAGTCCCGAAAACCCCCTTTCCCTAGCTGCGAGCCGGCTGGCTCGAAAACGAGCCAGCTCGAGCCGGCTCGACTCCGGCTCGCCTGATTTCGCATGCGCGAGCCGAGCCGAGCCGCCGGCTCGGGTCGAGTCGAGCCGGGTATTAAAAAAAAGGCTCGGCTCGTTTTGAAGGCGAGCCAAGCTGAGCCGAGCCAGGTGTGGCTCGGCTGCAAAAGTGGAGTTATTTTCTAAGCATATGTGGAGGGCATTGAGGACGAGGCGCGGGATTCAGAATCTGCGTTATCGAACCTCTCCAAAAATCGTTATGGGGCGGTGCGGTGGGGGTATTATTCAGATCCGAGATTCAGGCGTCTCGTTCTTGATCCCCTTCACGCACGCTTCAAAGCCTCTCTGCGTTTCTGCTAAAGCAGGCTGGAAAACAGAACCTGAACTCTGAGCGTCATGCAATGTGGTGTCTCATTGCTGGAATCCCGTGCCGTTTCTGCCTTAGACCAGCCCTGCCCTCCTCGGCTCGGCTTCTCACTCCCCTCCACTGCGACTTGCTCCGTTCTCCTGCCGCCTCTCACACCCCCAGACCCAGTCATGCCCACCGAGGCCTCTCTCTTCCACTGCCACTGCAGGCCTCCGCCACTTCGTGCCCTCTATTGCTTCCCCCTCCCCTGCATCACCTCGCTCACCCGCTCCCCAGCTATGCCCGCCAAGGCCCCTCTCTTCAACAGCCGCAGCAAGCCACCAGCCATCTGATGCCCCTCCAACCCCCCAGCGCGCCAAGGCCACTCTCGTTCACAGTTTCAGGCCTCTAAATCCCGAGTGCTGTTTGCCCCTTGTGACTCCTTCGTGCCTCCCCCTCCCCTCCACCGCCCTCCCCAGTCATGCCTGCCAAGGCCACTCTCTTCGACAGCCTCAGGCATCTAACTACCTTGTGCTGTTTGTCCTTGGTGACTCCTCCTTGCCTCCCCCTCCCCTCCACCGCCCTCCCCAGTCATGCCTGCCAAGGCCACTCTCTTCGACAGCCTCAGGCATCTAACTACCTTGTGCTGTTTGTCCTTGGTGACTCCTCCTTGCCTCCCCCTCCCCTCCACCGCCCTCCCCAGTCATGCCCGCCAAGGCCACTCTCTTCGACAGCCGCTGCAAGCCTCTCTTTGACTTCGGCTCCGGCCCTCGCAACCTGATTCGCTGGAACCCGCACGGCCGATGTGAGCTAGGGGGAGAACTGACATCAGTGCTTTGGGGCGGGTGCGACTTTATAGTTGCCGGGTCTGGCATCGCGTTTTTCAAACCACGAATAGCCACTTGCCAATGCTGCTACAAGCCCAAGCACGCTCTGCATAAAGTCCCCTGGTGCCGAACTCTGCGTGCGCACGCTATGCTTGCTCACCTTTCTTGAGCATACTACCTCTGCTGTTGCCCGTTGATGCCTGCCGCTCCCTCTAATTCTTGCCCTCCCCAACCCTGTTCAAATGCTCAACTGTTGAATCGAATCTTTTGGCTACCTTTCCCCATCCTCAATTCTCTCATTGAACTCATATTTCCCTTATCTCCCTCCTCCCTTCTCCCCCTCCCACCCTCCTCCCTTCTCCCCCCTCCCTCCCTCCTCCCTTCCCCCGCTTCCCCCCCCTCCCTTCTCCCCCTCCCCCCCCCGCCTTCTCGCCTCGCCAGTCCTGTGCCTTGCTGGGTTTGGCAACCTGCCTGGTGACGTTGTGAGTGGGATCTGAGGTTCTGTGTTTTGTTGGTAACAACACGAGTCAACATATGGCTTGACTTTTCATGTGTATCGTTTGAATCTTTTGGGATGTGTAGTCCATTTCACTCATGTCTTAGCATTTGTCACTAGCAGCATCGTCTAACCATCTTGTGACATCCATTCGCCTGAACTGTCAATCGACCATCTCACAGAGCCCAACCCCTTCCCTCGCCTCTCCCACATCGCCCCCTCCCTGCGCCCCTCTCAGGAGGTGTGGGGGCGCTCGTCTGAAGCAGCTGTGGAGGGCCAGGGCGCCGTGCGGCGCATCAGTGGAGTGGACCCCGGCTGGCAGCCACTCATGCCCATGCCTGTCCGCGCCTGTGTGCCTGTCTGTGTCTCTCTCTCTGCCCTGCCAGGAGGTGTGGGAGCGCTCGCGCCTCAAGCAGGTGGGCAAGGCAAAGGCGCCATGCGGCGTGTCGGCGGAGTGGAGCCCCGATGGGCGGCACCTCCTGGTGGCCACCACGGCGCCGCGCCTGCAGGTGGACAACGGGTGAGCTGACAGCGGGTGAGCTGACAGCGGCTTGGGTCGCAAGTGTGCGCGCAGCAAGGTGGTTGTGGAGTGCATGCGTGGCAGTCACAACCAAGTGGCGAGATGGCCTGGAGTTCCACATTCCCGGATTCCCGGACTCCCGGATTCCCGGATTTGATCATTCGCACGGACGAGTATGGACAACTCGGTAAGGGGAGGAGCCGAGAGGGAGGGAGCATGCGCTCGCACCTCGGATGTGCTATGGTGCCTTGAGGCTTGAGGAGATCAGGGAAGCTTGGCAGCGGAAGAGGTGATATTAGTGAGGACGAAGAGAGCGTCAGTGCGTGTGGCACGGAAAGGGGAATCAGACCCAGTCGAGATGGCGTGGGAGGCGCCCCTACAGGGTCCACGAGACCCCTACGGGGTCCAGAGGGCGAGAAGCAGCACATGGCGAGGGCGGTTGAGGCACCTTGCACATGGCGAGGGTCTATCCTTACTGCTGCTTGTGCCTTTTAGGAGGATTGTGCTTTGAGGATTGGTTCTGGAAGCTTCTTCACTCAAACCACCCAATTTTACGAGGGAACCAGTGTGGTGCTCTGTTTTCAAGGGCTGTCATTTGTCTCCCGGCACGTGGCTCACGTGGCTCATATGCGCCTTCCTTGAGTGGAAGCTCATCTTCTTCTCCCCGCCATCCGCACTTTTGCCCCTACCTCTCTCCCCCTTGCGCCCCTCAGCTTCAAGGTCTTCAAATACAACGGCTCCCTGCTCCTGCACCGACCATACGGCCTGCTCTACCAGGTACCATTCACCTTCCACTCATGTGTGCTCTGCTCAGGTGCCCTCCTCTACCAGGTAGAAATTATCATCATGCACACAGGTGTGCCTTGCTCTGCCAGCTATAGCTTCCAGCCTTCCGTGACTGCATGCCTGCAAAACACGGGAGTGCTTCTTTCACTGCCTTACAATGGCTGAGTAGCGCATCACGAGCTCGTCGCCAACTCAGCCGAGAGAAATCGACTTGTCGCCACAGATTCTGCCTCGCCACCCTTCCTCTTCCGCCTTTCCTCTTCCTCGCCCTCTCCCTCGCCATCTGCCGCGCTCCCACCCCCACCCCCCCACCCCTCGCTCTCCTCACCACGTGGAGTGGGCACCAGTACCAGGCGGCATGCATGCTGACCGCCTGCCCTCTCCATCTCGAGTGAGTGAAGTGGTTGCAATTCTCCCTCTGTTACCCATCTTCACCATGCCTCATCTTCACCATGCCTCATCTTCCCCCTCCACATCAGGCGGAGTGGACGCCAGCACCAGAGGGTGTGTACGCTGACCGCCCGCCCTCGCCACGCTCCAGCAAGAAAGACCAAGGTGTGCCGTCCACGCCCCTGAGGTGTGCCGCCCACGCCTCTGTGGTGTGCCATGCACGCCTCTGTGGTGTGCCCCATGCATGCCCTGTGGAATTCCTTCCCATCCCAGTGTCTGGAAGTGCAGAGTGCGCCCGGTCTGCGCTGTGCATCCCTCCTTTGATCGCACCTTCAGAAAGATCCTGGGCGTTGTCGATTGTTCCGGACCTGCCATCAGCCGCACACACCCTGTCCTCCATCCTTCGCATGATACCTGCTTTCCTCTCAACCTCGTCCTTCCTCCTTCCCCGTACACCTCGTTTCCTTCCTCTCTGCTTGTGTTTCCTCTCTGCTTGTGTTTCCTCTCTGCTTGTGTTTCCTCTCTGCTTCTGTTTCCTCTCTCGGCTGCCTGCTGTCATCCCAGCCTCATCGGAGGCGGTGGTGCAGGCAGCACCCAGCAAGGCGGCGCCGTACCGCCCTCCCAACGCGGCCCGCATGACGTGCACGTTCCGGGCGCAGGTGGGTGCGGCAGGGAGAAGTGTCCGGGTGGCATTGGGAGCCAGCCATGAGGTCATGAGCCATGAGGTCATGAGTAGGCTTGAGCATGAACCCGACCCGACCCGACCCGACCCGACTTTGCCCTACCCGATGTCGGGTTCGGGTCGGGTCGGGTCGGAGTTCAGGAAATGTCAACCCGACCCGTGTTTAATAGGTCGGGTTCTACCTAACCCGATTTCGGGTCGGGTCGGGTCGGGTTGGCATAGGGGCATGGACGGGTAATAAGCCGACCCGACGGGTCGGGTTTTATCGGTCAGGTCGGGTCGGGTCGGGTCGGGTACCCGAGGGTCGGGTCAACCTTCCGCAAATGTCGACCCGACCCGTCAAAAAGTCGGGCTCGGGTCGGTTTACCTGACCCGACCCGACCCGTTGCTCAAGCCTAGTCATGAGCCATGAGGTCATGAGCCATGAGGTCATGAGCCATGACGTCATGAGCCATGAGGTCATGAGCCATGAGGTCATGAGCCATGAGGTCATGAGCCATGAGGTCATGAGCCATGAGGTCATGAGCCATGAGGTCATGAGCCATTACCGAAGGCTGCCCTCGTGACGTCCACCTTCACAGCGCAGGTGGGTGGCAATGGGGAGCAGTGCCTGACCTCATGAGCTAGGTGGGCACGTGGGCGCAGGTGGGTGCGGGCAGGACAGGGAGCCGTATGCGCCTAGCACTGGCAGCAATGCATGGCCTCATAACTGCATCTTGCCCTCGTGAACTCCACCTCCAGAGCACACGTGGGTGGCCACCTGGCAGCTTGTTGGCGTGGTGGTGTGTTGTCCATCATCCTGCAGTGCACCCTCTTTGCCACATCCGTTGTTGTCACTATGGCCACCTCCCTTACTCACATCCCTTACTGCCACCTCCCAGCTGTCGGGGGAGGATGACAAGCCGCGCAAGATAGGCGCCCCAAAAAAGTACATCCCCCCCGGGTGAGCCCTTGGACGCGCATTCCCCCCCGGGTCGGTCGTTCAGATGCACTTGCACCTCGTCGCGGTGCACTGGACCCTGGTGCGAGCGCGGTGCGTGCTCTCATCTCATCTCAGCTTCCACTGCACCTTTTATTCCCTGCACTGCACCCCCTTGCGCTCCTCCTATTAGCCCCACCACCTGTGCCCACCCACTGCCACCACGATCGAAGCCATTCATCCCCTTCCTTGCCCCTCTGCCCCCTCCCTCCGTCCCCACCATTCACCCCTCCCTGCGCGTCCTGTGTGTGCCGCTGGCTGCTGGGTGCTGCCTATGCGTGGGGCAGGGCGGAGGCAGCGGAGCCATCCAAGAGCGCCAAGAAGAACGCTAAGAAGCGGGAGGCGGCTAAGGCCAAGAAGGACACTGCTGCTCCCCATCAGGTGCCATCTCAGGTGGCTCACACATGCATCATTGCTCACACATGCACCATGGCTCACACATGCACCATGGCTCACACATGCACCATCGATCACACATGCACCATGGCTCACACATGCACCATGGCTCACACATGCACCATCGATCACACATGCACCATGGCTCACACATGCACCATGGCTCGCACATGCACCAAGGCTCACACATGCACCATGGCTCGCACATGCACCATGGCTCACACATGCACCATGGCTCGCACATGCACCATGGCTCACACATGCACCATGGCTCGCACATGCACCATGGCTCGCACATGCACCAAGGCTCGCACATCCACCATGGCTCACACATGCACCACACCCGATACAGCATGCATCCTTCCGTGTGTGGCTGTGTGCCCAATCCTGTGTGCCCAATCCTGTATGCCCAATCCTGTGTGCCCAATCCTGTGTGCCCAATCCTGTGTGCCCAATCCTGTGTGCCCAATCCTGTGTGCCCAATCCTGTGTGCCCAATCCCGTGTGCCCAAACCTGTGTACCCAATCCTGTGTGCCCAATCCTGTGCGCCCAATCCTGTGTGCCCAAACCTGTGCGCCCAATCCTGTGTGCCCAATCCTGTGTGCCCAAACCTGTGTGCCCAATCCTGTGTGCCCAATCCTGTGTGCCCAATCCTGTGTGCCCAATCCTGTGCGCCCAATCCTGTGCGCCCAATCCTGTGTGCCCAATCCTGTGCGTGCCCAATCCTGTGCGCCCAATCCTGTGCGCCCAATCCTGTGCGCCCAATCCTGTGCGCCCAATCCTGTGTGCCCAATCCTGTGTGCCCAATCCTGTGTGCCCAATCCTGTGTGCCCAATCCTGTGTGCCCAATCCTGTGTGCCCAATCCTGTGTGCCCAATCCTGTGTGCCCAATCCTGTGTGCCTAATTCTGTGTGCCCAATCCTGTGCCCCCAATCCTGTGTGCCCAATCTTGTGTGCCCAATCCTGTGTGCCCAATCCTGTGTGCCCAATCCTGTGTGCCCAATCCTGTGTGCCCAATCCTGTGCGCCCAATCCTGTGCGCCCAATCCTGTGCGCCCAATCCTGTGCGCCCAATCCTGTGCGCCCAATCCTGTGCGCCCAATCCTGTGCCCCCAATCCTGTGTGCCCAATCCTGTGTGCCCAATCCTGTGTGCCCAATCCTGTGTGCCCAATCCTGTGCGCCCAATCATGTGTGCCCAATCCTGTGCGCCCAATCCTATGCGCCCAATCCTGGCTGCCCAATCCTGTGTGCCCAATCCTGTGTGCCCAATCCTGTGTGCCCAATCCTGTGTGCCCAATCCTGTGTGCCCAATCCTGTGTGCCCAATCCTGTGTGCCCAATCCTGTGTGCCCAATCCTGTGTGCCCAATCCTGTGTGCCCAATCCTGTGCGCCCAATCCTGTGTGCCCAATCCTGTGCGCTCAATCCTGTGCGCCCAATCCTGTGCGCCCAATCCTGTGTGCCCAATCCTGTGTGCCCAATCCTGTGTGCCCAATCCTGTGTGCCCAGTCCTGTGCGCCCAATCCTGTCTGCCCTATCTTGTGTGCCCAATCTTGTGAGCCCAATCCTGTGTGCCCAATCCTGTGTGCCCAATCCTGTATGCCCAATCCTGTGTTCCCAATCCTGTGTGCCCAATCCTGTGTGCCCAATCCTGTGTGCCCAATCCTGTGTGCCCAATCCTGTGTGCCCAATCCTGTGTGCCCAATCCTGTGTGCCCAATCCTGTGCGCCCAATCATGTATGCCCAATCCTGTGCGCCCAATCCTGTGCGCCCAATCCTGGCTGCCCAAACCTGTGTGCCCAATCCTGTGTGCCCAATCCTGTGCGCCCAGTCCTGTGTGCCCAATCCTGTATGCCCAATCCTGTATGCCCAATCCTGTGTGCCCAATCCTGTGTGCCCAATCCTGTGCGCCCAATCCTGTGCGCCCAAACCTGTGTGCCCAAACCTGTGCGCCCAATCCTGTGTGCCCAATCCTGTGTGCCCTATCTTGTGTGCCCAATCTTGTGTGCCCAATCCTGTGTGCCCAATCCTGTGTGCCCAATCCTGTGTGCCCAATCCTGTGTGCCCAATTCTGTGTGCCCAATCCTGTGTGCCCAATCCTGTGTGCCCAATCCTGTGTGCCCAATTCTGTGTGCCCAATCCTGTGTGCCCTCTGTTCCGTCCCCATCCATGGCTGTTCTGTCTCGATCATTGCTAACGACACTCTGTTCCGTCCCCATCCATGGCTGTTGCAGGCTAGTGCGGTCAAGCCGGCACCTGATGTGGCGGCGCTGAGCATTGACGACCGCCCCAAGGCCCAGCAGCAGGAGCCGCAGGCACCACAAGGTAACTCCTCTGCCCGGCCACTTGATTGCTTCACCAACGATCTTCTTGGTGTGCCAAAACCCGTACCGCAGTACGTGCTGCCTGGAAAGGTACTCTGGACAACTGCAGCAGCAGCCACGCCCATGGAAGTAACTGAATGATTTCCGCTACTGGCCTCCCGGATTCCGTGTAGTGTCTTCCAGCCCAGCACCCATTAGCCCATTCTCTCACTCCCTCTGTCACTTGGCCCAATGGCCCCCCCATGCAGGCCAGGGCAGCGGCACGGACGAGGCAGCGGAGAGGGCGAAGCGTGCACGCAACGTGGCGAAGCGGCTGCGTCAGATAGAGGACCTCAAGGCCAAGGTGGCGGCGGCAGGGGCCAGCACGGCGGGGCTGGAGGCGGCGCAGAGGGAGAAGCTGGAGCAGGAGGCCGCATTGAGAGCCGAGCTGGCGTCCCTGCAGGGATAGGTGGAGAGCCTGCATAGATAATGCTTAGCTAGAAATCTTGGGGTAAGAAAATACTACAAGAGAATGTTATTTTGCTGCAGAGTGTATGTGAATGGAACGAATACTGTTGAATAGTGAATTTCGGCAAATTCTCTGCAGAAGCCACCCCTGCAGTTGAAGAACCCTGGGCATGGTGGTTGTTGGGCTGAGAAAAAGCCCTTAGGATCTTTCAGAGACTAAGTCCCAGTTGTATGAGATACTTGAGTAGTGCAGCGGAAGTTGAGTAATTGAACCCTTGCACTAGTATGTGAGAGCAACTGATTGATTAAAGGAAACAAGCATACAGCAATATATAGAAGATGGAAAGTAAAGCAGTTATAGAATACAGTTGAAGAACGGTTATCGAGTCGCACAGCGACTCGATGGTCGATTCGGTTACCACCCTTGCAGTTGTAACGGTCAGTCGCAACCTCCGGTTGCGACCCTTCGAGTCTTTCGTCCAACCTCTTCGTGTAACCTCCGTTGACTCGTATACTCGATACGGCTTCTCTCGAGTGTGGTGTTACACTTCAGAAACGCTCAAGTCCTTGAGGTATTTCCAACACTCCCCTTCGTTTCTGGAGTGCTGATGTGTTCAGATTCGGTGACGTTTATCTGCCCGGTCAGCAGCATGCAGTAATCGAACTTTGCTTTCGCCAGTTTCTTCGTCAGATAGTCTGCAGCCATTTCTGTCGTAGGGCAGTAACTGAGTTGAAGTCTCCCCTTCGCGATTTCATCCTTGACGAAGAAATACCGCAGGGCGATGTGTTTGGTTCGGTTGGCGAAACCGTTTTTGTTCGCGATTTTGATGGAGATTGGTTGTCGCAGAAGAGTGAGAAGAAGGGCAGGGTTGCAATCTTTGCTTCCTCGAGCAACTCTCGCAGGTAGAGTCCTTCCTTGGTCGCAGTGCAGAGGGCGATATATTCTGCTTCGGCCAAAGATAGTGCGATTAGTTCCTGTTTGCTCGACTGCCAGGAGATAGTCCCGATAGGCTCTAGTCGGTAGATGTAGCCCGTTCTTGAGCGTCGATTTTCCCTGTCTCCTGCGTGGTCGGCGTCGACGTATCCAAGTAGTTGTACGGACGATGTCGTTGCTTTACTGTTGGTAAGTCCAGTCGTCGGCGTAGAGACGAAGTAGAGTAGTGCCCGATTTAGTTCCTCGAGATCTTCTTGTTCCGGCTGCTTTAGATGCGTCGCTAGTTGGCTCGCGCTGTAAGATAGGTCCGGTCGGCAAGTTACTGCTGCGAATAGTAGGCAGCCAAGCTTTTGCTGATACTTCTGGATTTGCTTCGCAGGGAGTTTTGCGGAGGAGTCGTTGTTGTTCCCGTAGCGGTAGGGAGTCGTGACTGTAGTCGGCGTTAGTCTGAATTTCTTCGCGACGGCGCCTGCGTACTTCCCTGCGTGTAGGTAGAATGCCGAGTTGTCTTCGACGATGTTCAGACCCAGGTACTGGGTCACGGTGTTAGACACCGTGAGTGTCAAGTCACTTCTCAGCTCCCCTTCGAACCAGGTGGCGATGTCGGTAGTGGAGCTGATGTAGAGTAGGTCGTCGACGTAGACGATGAGTAGGATAAAACCCCTTTCCTTCTGTAGTCGGTACATGCCTTGGTCGTGCGGCAGTTGTAGGAAGCCAATCCTGACGAGGCGGCCGTGAAGGTGCTCCTGCCAAAGCCGCGGGGCTTGTTTGATCCCGTAGAGGGATTTTATCAGCTGGCACATTTTCGTGGGGTCGTCGATGAATCCGTGGGGCTGCTCGACGTAGATCTGGGTGTCCACCGGTGCGTACAGGAAGGCATTTGCAACGTCGATTTGGTGTAGTGGTAGCTTCTTCGTGGCCGCGACGGCGAGTAGAATGCGCAAAGAGGTGTGACGGGAGACTGGGGCGAATGTCTCTGTGTAGTCGGTTCCGTATCGCTGATCGAATCCCCGTACGACCCAGCGAGCCTTTAATCGTTCGATGGAGCCATCCGCATTAGTCTTGATGCGGTACACCCATTTTCCCGAGAGCACGTTTTTTCCGTTGGTTTTTGTTGCAGGTACCAGCTTCCACGTGTTTCGGTCTTAGAGGGCCTTTAGTTCTTTTTCCATTGCTTCCTTCCATTTCGCCTTGTGTTTCCCCCCCAGAGCCTGCGACAGAGTTGTTGGCTCGCACAGAGACGGCGGCGGCGGGTGCTGGACGGAGTCCCATAATCCGAGTATCTGCAGGCCCGTGGGTATGTGTCGAGGGGAATTTTCATTCCCGGAATAGGCTGCTTCGTCACCATCTTCTGGATCAGGTAAGAAGTTTGGGACGATGCGTTGTGAGACATTCGTGTCGACAGGTTGAGGTGTAACGTAACCTTGATCAGCGAAGTGGTAATGGGTGTCGAGGTTGTTGCTATCGAGAGGATTGTCGTCGTCGAGTGGAACAGGCACGGAGCAGTAAGGGAGTGGTCCGGCAGCTTCCAAAGCTCCAGGTACGTCTTCTTCTGCTGCGTCAGCCTCGGCGGCACGGTCCGTGAAGGACCGAAGGCCCTCGAAGTCATTCGCGGGGTCTTCTGTGTTTGCAATGTTGTCCAGGTAATGCTGCACCGTCAGTCGTTCGTAGAAAATCACATCACGTGAGGCCACGGTGTTTTTGTCTTGTATGTCGAGAAGTTTCCATGCTTGGAAATGTTTTGCGATGCCGAGGTGTAGTCCCCATCGTGCTCGTTGAGAGAATCGTCCTGCGCGAGCTGTGTGGAGACTGTACTGTACCATGCAGCCAAAGACTCGAAGTAATTTTGTGCTGCCCTGTTTTCCCGTTCAAAGCAGGTGCGATGATGCGTTGTTGGGAAGTGATGACGAGGACAACAAATTGTGCAAGTGAACTGCATGGGTCATCGCGTCAGGCCAAAGTGTGTTGGGCAGTCTCATCCCCAGGAGCAGCTTCCGCATCGTCGTCTGCAAGGTCTGGTTCATTCTTTCTGCGACCCCCTGCTGCTGGTGAGCGTAGGGCAGAGACACCAGGCGTCTGATTCCTCTTTCCGCCAAGTAGTTCCTGAATCGTTGTGACTGGTATTCCAGTGCGCCGTCTGACTGGAAGCTCTTGAGTTGAGTTCCTGATTCTCGTTCAGCTATGGGGAGCCACGTCGTGAAGGCTTCGAAAGCTTGATCGCGTGTCTTGAGGTTGTAGTGCTAGACGTATCTTGTTGCTGCATCGATGAACGTGATGACATAGTTGAAGTCTGCTTCACTGTCGTCTCGCGGCATATTTAAGATGTCGCTGTAAACCTTTTCCATCGGTGCGTATGCAGGTGCACTTGGATTGTGATGCGACGGAAAGGGTTGGTGTGGAAGATCGGCTTCAGGACACGTGAAGCATCGGGCGCGAGGTCGTCGAAGCTCTTGTCCGCTCGTTGTGAGGAGAGCGTCCTTTTCTAATACTCCAGCTTGGATTGTTTGTAGAACTGTACTGTTTGCAGGGTGACCGAGGCGTTGGTGCCAGATGTCGTCGGGAGCACGATGGCCGGGGGAGCGCTGATACATGCTGGTGTTGGAGAAGAACGCGACGACTATTGCCGGACTGCGGCAAACTCCTTGAGCGTTTGGCATGAGTTGGTCTGCTTCGGTTGGTGGCCCTCGGACTGCCGGTGATGGCATACGACTAGGTTCTGCTGCTTCTACTGCAGGTGATGTTGCGGGTGGGACACTTGCTGGTACGTGTCTTTCTTGTCGTATGACTGCAAACGCTCGGGTCCTTTCTGCTGCAGGTATTGTGTTGGAGTACCAGAAACCATCTGGGGCAAAGTCGGGGTCAAGATCCGGTGGGTGCGTCCATGCGGCGAACGACACGATGCGATCGCTGTCGGCAGTACCGCGGTCGGGGACGAAATCCAACACGAAGACGCCTAGCTTCAGGAGAGCGCGACCGATGAAAAGGCCGCCCTTCCCGTGGTGAAGGCGAAATTCGTTGGAGTCTGAGTCGCATTCCAGGTGAATCCCTTTTGCCATCAACTGGCTGACGCTGAGTAAGTTGTATCCCAAGTTGTCGACGATTAGAACTTTGTTGAGTTGCAGTATGACGTTCGTCTCCATTGACTGAAGCTGAACGATGCCTTGTCTGTTTGTTTTTAGATTCTCGTTGTTGGCGACGGTGATGATGACATTACGGTTGAGACGTTGCTCTCGTTGCACGAAGCGCCCGGAAGAACACATATGTTGGCCGCAACAACTGTCCAAGAACCAAGTGTTTCGCCCGGTGGGTTCGGCGTTGGCGACTGCAGCGTACGTTGGGTTGACCTGAAGTCCTTATGAGCGCGGCGGCGACAGCTCTTCTTTGTCTGGAGCGTAAGTGGGTGGTGATCCGGGTGCCCAGTTGTCGATGTGTACCATGCAATTGATGATGTTCGGTGTGCCTTGTGCAGATGTGGAGGAACGCCTCGGCGGGCTTTCTTGAGTGGAAGCGACTTGTGGGTCTACTGAACGATAAGTTCGTGGGCGTGTGCAGTTGACTTTGGAGTGTCCGGATGTTTGGCAGTTGTGGCAGAACGGCGGCACAATGGTGAGTCCTCTGTTGTCGCGTTGATCTTGCTTGCCGTGTCGGTTGTAGTAGTTGCCGTTCCTTCGTTGAGTGTAGAAAACTAACGGCTGCTGTTTCCTTGGTTGTCTTTCTTCAAACAGGTCCATATCCTGTTGTTCAGCATGAAGCTCGGCGCAGAGGTGCATCTCTGAGATTCGTCCGTGGGCGTGAAGAAGCGAGCGGGTGGTTCTCCATTCTGGCCCGAGCCCAGCGAGTACAAGTGTCACGAAGCTTTCTTCAGTGATTGTACCTCCGCACCGAAGCAGGCGGTCGCGGAGTGTCTGGCAGCGACTCATATACTACATCACCTTTTTCCCCGGTCTTCATCTGTATTGTTGTCAGCTGCTGCATGAGTCTGCTTTGTGTTACGCTGTCGTTTGCTTGTTAGAGACACTTGAGGTGATGCCATGCGAGTTCCGCGGAGTTTCCATAGCTCCGATACGTTCTGATGCTTTGCTGTTCTTGTGGTGACAGGTTCCGCAAGAGAACTGTGTACGCCAGCAGCGACTAATACGTGAAAATTTCTTGCTCTTTTGCAGTGCCATTGCTTGGAAATGGTAGGGACCCGTTGAAGTATCCCAAGAGGTGCGCGGCCTCCATCAGCAGCTCGAACTCAAAACTCCAGGTAAAGAAGTCATGTCCGTTGAACAGTGAGGATGTCTGCAGTTTGATCACGTGTGAAAACTGCGCTTGGAGACTC